TAATGTGCTTACACCTACTTAGAGCTCCCATAAAATAACTTTATACTGTAAAGTAACAAATAAACAAATATAAAGTTACTGTAAAGTAACAAATAAGGTATACTGCAAAGTAACAAATAAAATTGCAGCTTAAAGGGAACGAACATGACAATAGAAGGAAACAGTCTACCTTCACCACACTGTGATATAACATTAGATGGCTTTTCAGTAATGCAACCTGGCTCAAAACCATAAATTACCTAAAAAGAAATGAATAAAACCACTTACTTACACTTTCTAAGATCTGCATCTGAAATACTGACAGTGATGTAAGCAAAAGCTTTCAGAGGGTTCCCTGAGCAAAGAGAAACACTCACTTAATTTCTATGCAATTTCACAGATTCCTTTAAAACTAAAATCTGAGAATGATGTGCGTCATAACCAAAAAAAGGAAAAAAAACGACAACCGAAAACCACAATAACAAAAAAAAAAAAATCCCAACCAAAACCATTTCACAAATTAAAAACCAATTTTGTCTTTAAAAAGAATGGTTCCAAGGACTTTTAAAGATTGACACAAAGATGTTACCCTGATCATCTTGTCTGGTAATAATCTCCGCATCCAAAACATGCCCAAACTTGCCAAATCTTTCCTGCAGCTCAGCCTTAGACACCCCATGGCCAAGCCCTCCAACATACAAGCGTTTCGGCACTCGCTGCATCTCCACGTGGGAAAGCCCGGCTGCGCCAGCTGTCCCGACCTCTCCGGTTTTCTGTAAGAAGATCAGCACTGGTCACCAGCATTAACACAGAAGGGATTAACGCGTTCATAGGAGCAAGCCGCGGAACAACTCGTGCACCAGCAGCGCACCGCACAGAGCCCCATGCTCTAGCCCAAGGCGGCCAACCGCGCCCTGTAAAGGGAAACCATGAGACCGGGGAGAGGCCTCAGCCGCGTCCGCGTCCGCATCCGCGTCCGCATCCGCATCCGCGTCCGCCACCGCTGCCCCAGCAAAAGCAACAACAGCCTCGGTAACAGCAGGTCCCCACCGGACGCCACTACCCTCCCGCACCTCCGGCAGCAACGAGTAACGCGGCGCCCTTCAATTAATGTTCCGCCTCGCAGCCCTTCCTATGGCAACGGGGAAAAAAGGTTCCGGCAGCTGCCTTTGCAGCAGTGGGGAGAGTACACGAGGTTTGGGTCTGGAGACGGCGGAACGTGCGAGAGAAACGCACTAAAACGAAAAGCGGAGAACTTTCCTACAAGACACGAATAAGAAACCAACAACAGAAAACAAATACCTACATCACGAAACAACGCTTATGAGGCCATCTCCAGCAACGACCTTCGGAACCATAATTGTACTGGCTATGTTTCCGGGAGGGAGTATGAAAGAACAGACGGCGACCTCAACCTGCGCAGCCGCAGTGGTACCAGCCAGGCCGAAGCGGGCGATTAGGCAGTTGGAAGCGCGGGGAGGGGGAGGGCTGGTCCTGCCCTCTCGGGCAGACGGCGCGGCACCGCCGGGGCAGCCTTGAACCCGAAGCCGCCCGCCGGGTCCTGCGGCCGCAACACCGGCTTCGCTGCAAGTGCCTCTTCCGGCTTTTGCCCAGTGAGGCGTGAGTGGTAGAAGCAAAGTCGAGCAGAGCTGCACCTCGCAGCTCCCACGCTTTTGCGGCCTTCGCCAATAATGGCGTCAACGCCTGTGGCTCTAGTTACCATTGCACAGTAGCTTAATCACCATTTGCTTTCCCTGTAGTTTTCATTAAATCCTCCATTGCACACCATGTGAGCATGTCTTCATCATGAAATCAGCACTTCTCAAGCAACAAGGATGACTTAAGTGTAAAATTCACCTGGTAAAAAGGACTCTCCCCATCTTTATTACAGGATGACTTCCCTGAATAATCAGACTGCGACACCAAGACAAACACCAGACACTGTCTCGGGCGCGAGAGTAGTTTCTTCACTGAGGTCTACGGATTTACAAAATAACTTCAGGCCCCCTGCACAAAAAAGAATGAGTTAACGTGGTTACACCCTTCTGAATATGCTCCTCTTCGTAACTCTCATGAGCGACACAGCAACTAAGTCAGAAGGCCCATTCTTCGTATTCCCCTCTCGCCACCCAATACCGGGGCCTCCAACAGAAATGTTACGTATTGCAGCCTTGCGTCCCAAGAAAAACTAAATATGCTCAAATATAGACTGCAGTGAAACAGCATTTGTTTCATTAGAAGCTCAGCACTGCCAAAAAATTGGCTAGAATATCAAAAGCAATTGCTTTGGTGGCCTATGGGTAGTTGTTGGGGTTTTTGTGGTTTGAGGCTTTTGGTTGGTTGCTTTGTTGTTTTCTTTGCTTCAGGGCTTGTTTGGTTTTCTTTTCTGGGTTTTTCTTTTGGTTTTTGTTTTCACTTTGAAATGAATGACATTAACAAGAAAAACCCCACAGTAATTTGGATCAGAAACCTTGTGGGCATATGTGACTGATACTAAGAGTCAATATTTTTAACAGGGACATCAGAAACACTGAAGACAATCAAGTATCAGATATATGCCTGAAAGGATCCAAAATATCGAGATAACTTGGCAAAAAGAGGGTGACTAAGTCGTGTTATACCTCTTAGGCGTTCATCATCTTTGGAGAAGAAGAAAGATCTAGCACGTTCTGTCTGTGGTAAAGAGAAAAAACTAGAAAAAACACAAAGGAAATTCAGCATCGTAAGAGTTAGTGTCAAATTCCATTAGCCCAAGTCCAAGCTGTAAGGCTGTAAGGCTCCAAAGAAATAGTATCTCGGGCAGGACACTACACCACAGTAACCCAGTACAACCTCCTATAAAAAAACGATTCTGAAGAAAACACCACATGCGATTTGACTTTGGGCCAAACCCACTACCCAGCTGAGCTCTCCTCACTGAGCTAGAAAGTCAGCTTTTCTTCTCAACAATCACGTGTGGTATTGGCATTCTTGACTACTTCATTCTGTGCAGCAAGGAATGGCTTCAAAGGACGACTGCACTTGTCCAGAGAGGTGGAATGAAGATGTCAGTCTCCCCGTGAGTCAGGTGCTGTTATTAATATTCTCATAGCATCAACCCACCACAACTGAGCGGACAACAACTACAACTAAAACTTGCATTTCTTCGTCCCTTTTGCTTTCTGATGCCTCTGGTTCATCATCACCCTCAGAACTGCCGTCTTGGAAACCTTGGATCTTCTTGCCATTTGACTTTTGGCAGCTTTTATTGTTTCAGCTATGTCGGGCTCTGCAGTAATTAAAAAAAGGGAAAATCAAATTCTTTCCCTACAGTTAGATCATCGCTTCATCTTGCTGAAAGCCCTTTTCATTAACCCGCTGTGGATGACTTCTCTGAATAATTCACCTGCGATACCAGGACCGTGTCTTGAGCACAACCAGAGTAGGAGAAAAGGAAGGTGACTTCCCCTATTGGAGAATCCAGGTCCAATCCAGGCAATTCAGGACCAAGACGAGAACCTTCAGCCCCCAGAAGCCTTCCTCCAATACCAGCCGGCTGACGCTGCTGAGAGTGACCAGAGGCTTCCCAGGCTGCTTCCTTCAGCTCCTGCCTTTAGAGTGTCCTCAGCCACCCTCTTCTACCAGCCACCTTCCAGGCCAGACTCTGGTGCTCAGGGCTCCCTTCTCCCCAGGCTTCCTGAGATTTCGCTCGGCCTCCCGACACCCGGGCATTGGAGAGCTCCATCACCTACAGAGCTGACCGGTGCCAGGGAACAAAGACCTCGGTTCACAGCAACGCTGTGCATGGCCACAGCCCTTTGGTCAGCTCCACTCGAGCACTGCTGCTCGGGAGCGCCTCGGAGCTCACCGCGCAATCCCCCTGAAGAGCGCCACCTGCTCCGACCATGCCCACACCTCGCGTCTTCCCAATCACAGCGGTCAAGAAGAGGGGGACAAAGTGCTGGCCCCGAGTTCTCTTTTGCACCCTCGATACCTCCTTCCCTTCCTCAAAAGCCCGTCAGGTTCCCTCCCAGCTTCCCCTGCCTTGCTCAGAGAGGACGCTGCCACCTACTCCACTAAATCAGTTTTCAAGCTGCATGAAGACCTATCAGGAAGGCACTTGGGGTGCACAGCACCTGTAAGACCACCTGTAGTTTGCCTGAAGAGCAAAGGGCTGTTTGAACCTGTACAATCACCCTGCGGGATTTCCTTCATGCCTTGTCCCCCATTAATCTTTGATTCAGCCTTCCAGCCCTCCTGCAGCTTCCACAGAGCAGCTGCTTGGCAGTGGTTCTGCAACCACACCTTTCCTCCTGCCTGCACTGCCAAGGTACTCACTGCTCTCCAAGACGGGGGCAACCCTTTCAGAGGACCGCCATTTCCCAGGGCCCCTGTCACTCTCCTTGTGAAGTACGTGGGGGATTTTTGCTCTAAAGGGCACACGAAGGCACTCAAGCCCGCAACACCAGGTAGCGCTCTGACCCTCCTGGACTTTGCGGTGGAAATTCCTTACCAGGTGTTTGCAATCTCTAGTCAAGAGGATTTCTTGGCTCGTACCGCTAGAAGGAAGCCTTCCACTGGCACAGCAGCAATCATGTTAGGGAACAGAACCCAGAATGGGGGAACAGGCAATGCCCTTTGGCTACCGTGGAAAGGCAGTCGACAAAAACCTTCATGTCACAAACACAGATGTGACACTGAACTGAACTCTGAAAGAACAGCAGCTTTGCCCCTCTGCCACCATTCTCACTAACCTAGGCAGTGAGGATAGGATATTGCTTATAGCCTTGTCCAGAGGGGAACGGAGCTGAGGCGTGTCAGCAGTTGCTGGGAGTAGGGCGCATGATTTTGGCATCGAGCCATGAGGGCCAGACTGGCTGCTGAGTGGAGGAGGTCGGTGTGGGGAAGGTGCTGCTGACCCCTAGAGAGAGGATAAGGCTCTGGGCCCAGCCCCTGAAGCTGCCCTTTGAGAAAGGGAGCGGAGGAGGAGGAAGCCAACCAATGAGCCTCCACTCTCCCAGTCCAGAGATGAAGGGCCACCTTTATTGTGCCGGTGGAGGGGGATCAGAGCTGTCGCTCGGAGATGAAGCATGGTTGGTCCCACGGAGGTACCCGGCCCACGTGTTGGGAGTTTGGGCCCGATGTTGCAAGCGGGAGCGGTCTCGCACCCGCACAGGCCCCGTGCATCTTGAGGTGCTGCCTCTTTGGTGTGCTCTGGGGCCATGGGATGATGCCGATGGCTGCTGCTCAGCGGTGCTGGGGCTGCGGGTCTCACATGCTGGGGGGCATCGGGACAGCCCCGGCACTGCCTGGCTGTGGGTGCTGCTCGCTGCTTGGCTTCTCTCTCGCTCTCTTGTTGGTCGTGTATAGGGAGTCCGGGTCTGACGGTCACACCGGGTTTGGTTCCGTCGTCGCTGAGGCCCGGGGGGGCTGGAGCGGCTGCTGTGCTCAGGCGCTGGCAAGCCACGGAATGGCCCCGATTCCAACTGTCTGCTAGTGCTTGGGCTGATGGTCTCCTGTGCTGGAGGTCCCAGAGTCTGCCCCGATGCTGCTGGGGTGCTGCTGCTGGGACCAGCAAGCTCTGAGCTGACTCTGTAGGCTTCAAGGGGAAGAAGGAAGGTCAAGGGTAGGGCTCCCAGGCCTGGGGCAGGATAGGCCAGAGCCGTGCGCCAGCCCTTCCTGGAGCCGAGCCCACAACAGCCACCCATTTCTGGGCCTTGCAGGGCCCCTATCCCCGGCACATCCAGGTTCTTTGACACTTACAGGTGCCCACGCCAGCACAGCTGTCACATTCCCATCTCTCGCTGCTGTTCTCCAAGTTGGCGCAGCGTCTGTGCGTGCCCTCAGCAGCGCAGGATTGGCACAGGAGCAGCTGCCAGGGCCTGGGGAAAGAAACGCGGTCATGGTTCTGAGGATAAAGCGCCCAGAGCATGGGATCGTCCAGTAGTGCTCTTATTCTCAGCCCTTCTGCTTCCAGCCCTTCCTGAGACAGAGATCCCATCCCGAGCCTCAGGGTGCAGCTTTGGCAACTTACCCCTCTGGCTCTGCCTCCTCCCTGCCTCCTGGACAAAGGCACTCCCCGGCATTGCAGCTGCTGTGCCTCTGGTGCAGTGGTGCGTATGCACTGTTGTGCTCCCATGACGCTTCTCTGATGGAGAAAAGAAAATTAATGAGCCCCTGCTGCCCCGGCAGACAACAGATGCCGGGCAGATACAGGACAGATGCACCAGATGCAGCAGATTCAGATGCAGCAGGTGCAGGCGTGGCACAGTGCCGGGCAGGATGACACCAACCTGACGGGGATTTGGATCCCCATGAAGAGCATTTCCATGAGAAATATATTCCTGTTTCTACAGAGAGGGCACCCTAAGCAAGAAAGGCCGGCGCTAAGAGCCTGTCTCTGCAGGAGAAACACAAGGAGCATGAGTGAGGCTCTGGTGCTGCTGAAAGGCTGCGTGCCTGGGGCGAGGGAACGGCTCCTACCTGGATGCAGGCCCTGTGGAACCAGGCGTGTTTGCACACTGGGCACACCATGGTCCTGTAGGTTGTTCTGCCAACAACAGGGTTCAGGCAGATGAGGCAGGTGGTGTTCTCTGGAGCCACCTCTTTCCGCTGCTGTGGGCGGTGCTCGCAGCAATAGCAGGAAAAAGATGGGCGAGTTGAGTGGCACTGGGTTCTTCCCTGGTGACGGCGAGGAGAGGGAGGAGATACCTGTGCGGTGGGATGTAATGGGTGATGCATTCACCCTCCATGGCACAGGGGAGATGGAAGCTGAGGTCGCAGTCCATCTCCTCGCAGGTGATGGTGGCCCCGCTCTCACGACACACGAAGCACTCCTGGAAAGAGCACAGCAGCCCCCATCAGCAGCAGCCTCAGGGCCTCCACAGCTAGACCCACACCTCAGGGGCAGGGCATGGGATGTGGCCACT